ATGAATGAATGAATGAATGAATGAATGAATGAATGAATGAATGAATGAATGAAGGTAAATCACCTGATGGAAGGTTTTTAAAATTCACAATAAAAGTCTTACTCACACAATATCAATGCACTGTACATATGTAAATCCCTTTGAATCATTAAATAACAAAAAATATTTATTTTACTCGTGAATTAGCATATTTCTAAATAAGAAATATTCTAACTTAAATAAATTGCATTTAGGCTCCTACATTGGTTACCATGGTTACACATTTACAGCATGTTTCTGAGAGCAGCTCAGGTTTGATGTAAAGACACCTTATTCCACTGGTCTCTAACCCCCCCCTCCCCCCCCCCCCCCCCCCCCCCCACACCAGGCCTGGTCCTTCCTGAGCCACCTGCCCGTGCTGGAGGTGGGCCTGAGCGTGAAGGGCTGGTGGGAGGAGAGCCGGGAGCAGCTGGAGCGCCGGGTCCCCCCCGCCGGGGCCGGCCTGAGGGAGCGGGGCTGGCTGGACGTCCACGCTGACCAGGAGTACGTCCTGCAGGTGGCGCTGCGCCGGGTCAACCTGGGCCAGCAGAGGGTCAGTCCGCACACAGCACACACACACACACACACGCCCGCTCAGATGCCGTCGCTTTTCTCACCGTTTTTCACATAAAAAGAGATTTGAGTCTAAATTCCGTGTGGGCAGCAGTTTCCTGTACTGGTTCTGTCCACTCAGAGCCCCGTCAGAGCCCGTCTTATTCTCAGAGGATTCAAATGAATGACCGGGGTGTTTGCCTGTCCCTCCAGAGGAAGCAGGACAGCAAGGCCCAGGCCCCCCGCTTCCCCAAGAACAAGGACGAGGGCTGGTTCCTGGTCATGGGGGAGGTGGACCGCCAGGAGCTGCTGGCCGTCAAACGGGTGGGATACGTGCGCAACCACACCTCCGTGTCGGTGGCCTTCTACACACCGGAGAAAACCGGGAGGTGAGCGGTTGTAGTCTCACAGAAACAGCAGCTGTACGCTTTCTATGTGGGGACAGCTAAAGCCTGAAGGACGTCTTCTGATGGAAAAATCTAAGAAATACTGTGTGAAATGTTGGGAAATAGTTTTAACTCATTGGCTGCCAAAGTCGTCTATAGACGTCTTTTATGTTTTTCAACGAGAGTGGCTGGGGGACGATCTGCTAAAGCTTGTCGGTAAATATGGGCTTCTAGACAGAGTATGTAGTAACAAATTGACCCTCTAGGGGGCAGTGCCACTTTTGATGGGAGATGAGAATAGACTGTAGGCAAATAAGAAAAAGGGAACGGTTCTATGAGAGAACATGTCGCCGGTTAGACGCAAGTCCAGGAAAACGGAATAAGGTAGAAACACAATTTCTTTTCCTGATGAAAGAAGAGAGTCCAATTTTTCTTTTGGTGTGTTCGGTGTTTACATAGTCATAGCACAAACTATTCTGTGGCTCTTGAAAAATCAGTCAAAATGCTCAAAAAACTCTGGCAGTATGGGACTCTGTTCTGAAAATGGCTGCCAGTCAATGAGTTAAGAGCGCGCTCAGCTTTGGGCCTCTCCTCCCGCAGGTGCATCTACACCCTGTACCTGATGAGTGACAGCTACCTGGGTCTGGACCAGCAGTACGACGTGCACCTGAACGTGACCCCCCCCAGCATCGCGGCCCAGGTCAACACGGAGGTGTCCGACTCGGTGAGCGAGCCCAGGGCCTGACCCACACACAGGCCTCTCCTGAGGCTCCCCGCTGAGCCGGAGGAACGCTTTCACAGCCAATCAGAAACACGCAAACTGGACTCGGGCAGGAACCGGACCACTGGTGGGGCCTACTGTGTACCAGCTCCTCCTGTTTACTTCCGTTTCAGTTCCATGTGTTCATTCAGCCTGTGTTACGCAGATTTTCTCATTAGCTAAGTGGAGTTTTAAGATCAGGAAAGAATCTGACAGGTTTGTCTCCTTTAAGTTGTGTTTTCCAGGTGGGTTTAGACCAGTTTAGACCAGTTCAGACTGTCAAAAACCCCTCTAAGAAGTGATCACCGAGACCAGCCAGTGGTCCTGTCTGGTAAGTGTCAGATCAGTTCAGGGAAACAACACAGAAATGGAGTAGAGCTTCTTCACTTCTGCTCTGTTTGAGCAAACCGGGCTCCACAGGCATTTTCCCCAAACATCCGTTCTAGTCGCTGTCCAAAATGTGACAGCCGCTCGCGCACGGCGTCTGTAAACACAGACGGAGGGTTTATTTTAACAAAAGCTAATGATTTTTCTGTCAGGTACAACAGTTGGCAGCGTAATTAAAAAAAAGACCACAGTTTTACTCCGAATCAGAATTTGTTCTCTCTGTTGTGATCCGACTCCCCGCAGATGGATCAACACGCTACAGTAAGCGGGATGTAAATATTGATGTACATTGTCTGAGAAATCTATTTTGGGATATGTCAGGTACCAGGATGAGGCCGTGAGCCCTAGTTCTAACTTGTCAGACAGTAATAAAGCAGCAGCCGTCTGTGAGAATCCGATCCGGCGGCTGTGTACATGATTAGAGAAGCAGAAATAGATCACCTAAAAGATTCGAAGTTGTATTAAGGCTTTATTTTCTTTTCATTTTCCTGACAGAAGTGAGAAAATGCATGCATGCATTGAGCCCTCAGTTAACCGGTGTGGCCTTACAGAGCAAACTGTGGTGAGAGAAGGACTTACTATCATTTGTCTGACATGGAATCATTTCTACAAAAACAACTTTTGTAGTTTTGAATTGAATTCAGATATATTTACTTTAAAAGTCTTGAATAAGACAGAGGTGCAGATTGAAACTTTCAAAGAGAGAAATGTGTCTAAATTAGATCGAACAGGACAAAGATGAGTCTTTAATGTGCTGTGAGTGGATTTTAGTTCATGAAACAGAAAACATGCAGCTCTGCAACAGCCTCAGGTTTGAAATGATGCATCTTTTTTTGTGAAATCGCTCTTGTCGTCCTCCTTTTGAAGTGAAGCAGAAGCATTGGGTGACACACCTGAGCCCAGAAACGAGCTTTAATATCTGTTAGTTTGAACTGAAATTCAGATGGTAAGAACAAAAAAATAAATACAATGGTTTGGATTGCTTTTCTTTTGTCTAACTGTGATTGTACTGTCAGCAGCAATTTGGAAATAAAACCCAATATCTCAAAAACAACCCCATCCTAGTCCTCTGTGAGTGTCTTATAAAAGTTTTTGTGAACATTTGAGGTCTGCAGATCAATTAGAGTGATTAATGTTCGTTACATAAGGCCTTTTTACCCTTTATTGTGTTTTTACAATGTCTCATAAACACACAAACCTCTGTTTGTCCCAGCAGTCCAGCTGTGAGCACACCTGGATACCATCATTTTTATATTTGAATATGGTTCACTTCCCTGTCGTTTTCACGGTACGCCAAACAAAAGTGAGCTTTGATTATGAGTAAAAGATGAGGCTGGACTAAAGATGAGCTGGCTGCCCGCGTCAAATCCAGTCCCTGATGCTAGCCCACAGAGGGTTTAAGGGTCCTTGAACCCTCTTGCAAAGGCTTATGTCACAACCCGGTCCCTCCGGTCATCAGTGGCTTGTGGTCCAGCAGAGCTGCACCACTTTAAGACAATCAGACTGTTTTCAGGTGTTGTTCCAAGATGGAGGAATGACCTACCAAGCCCTACAAGAACCTTTCTATCTTTAGGAAACTCTCAAAGACCCACCTCTTCAAAGAGAATCTCTTGTTGTGACTCTTCCCCATAGCTCTGTACCCCCCTACCTCTCTCTCTTTGCTGTCTCCACTGACTCTGACTAGGGATTTTCCCTCTGGAGAGCTCATTGTCAGACTGATGATAACTGATGATAACTGTCAGACAGTGCTGCCTTTTCCTGTTCTAAAGCTGTCATATTAGCAAGGAATCTTTCGGTATTTACAGTTACGACAACCAAGGTGTAGAACTAACTTTTTTTTTCTCCCCTGTTCTAATTCTACTAATCACAAGCCTTCGTTACGAGGAATTCATACTTCCCTGGTCAAGCCAGTCCATCAATCTATGTGAAACAGTGGAGAAAGCAAGGTCAGGTTCCTGAGATGCTCTTTTTGGTGCTATACAGGTCATTCCTTTCATCGATTAGTCGTTAAAAGATATTATCTGCTCGCTCTAGTGTTTATCAAGATGCAACTTTTAGTTATGTATTTTTGAATGTATATCACAGATTTCATAAACTTGTTTGAATAGTTAATGGCAGGAATGGGACTCCATAGAATGTTGTGGAGGATGGGAGGGGCTTACTGATAGTAGGTGGGGGGCTCTGCTTCTGGGGGGGTAATAGTGAGGGGTTATGTGTGTAGATATCGTTAGCTTTGTGGATGCATTTCTTTCAGACTTGTAAAACCTACCAGGATATCTAAACAAATTCCTCACAGAGGCACTCTCTAAAAACCCTCTATGGTCTACATCCTCCCAATGTGCTGGCTGAAGAGGCAGTACTATTAAAAGTGTCTTTCTTGCTCAGTTTCCTGTTAATTGATCAATTCTTGCCATCCAAAGACACTGGGGATGCTCAGCTTCCATTCTTGGCCACTGCAAATGAGAAAACTTTCAACAGATATGGGCCCCATTGACAAATGAATAATAAATCAATAAAGACTAGGGGTTCCACCTTGATGATACTAAAGTCTTCTTGACGACTCAGACGACTCAGTAGGCCTTGGCCTGTCATAAGGGGGGCTGGTCAGTCCTGGAAGCATCATTATGGCATCGGTCATCGCATCTGGACCGGGCGGGAATCTCTGGTACGGCTTTAAACTGTTTCAGGTCCTTCTTCGAGGACAGGAAGAACTTTGTTCAAATTGGGAACTGTTTCAGAAGGAATGGATCTGACCTGTGGGGTTCTCCAGGGGTCAATCCTGGGACCCCTTTTGTTTATTGTCTGTGGTCCCCAATAACAGGGAGAAGGTGTCGTCAGTCACCTTCAGACTCTGGAACCTAAAAATCAGGTAACTTTAACAGCCACACGGTGAAAACAATTCTATTTAACTGTGCATATGACAACTGAAGGTGCTTTATCTGCACTATTAATCTATTCAATCAATGATTTTTTTGTTACGTTGAACTCATTCTTAATTTTCTGCTCTCACTTTTTAGTAGACTATCTTTTATGTCTTGTACACAAAATGTGCTGAACAAATAAATGTGCCATAACCTGCATTCATCACCGTGTGTCTGTACTATTTCGAAATTGGACTCTTTTGGCTTCCTAGGGACCATCGTCGTCATCCAGATACTCAAGTGCAAAGGATGATGATGGTGAGCTTCTAGGCTGCCATCACTGAGTCCATCCTCAGAGCAGGTGATAAAACTACCGTCCCTTCTGCTGAGACGTGATTGGCTGTGGCCGTCCGTCTCTGCGTGACCCTGTACGCCCCCAGATCCCATCTCACGAGATCCCTCCCTCTGGCAAGGACAACATCTGGAGTACCACTTCGTGAGACAAAAACGGCTTCTTCCCTTGGGCTGTTTCCCTCCTGGTCTCATGACCCGACCCTGGGCACAAAGCCTGCAATCATCCAGCCCACAACAGGACGGAACTCTTCCAGTGTATGCAGCCCAGCACTGGGACCCTTTACTCTCTGTTCAGATGCTGATACTGTCCCTGCTTTTTGGTTTTAGCTTACCCCCCTGCACCTTGTGTCCATACCTTCATTCATTCATGTTCCATGTTGTTCTATTTAAAAAGCAGCGGCCTCACCAGGTGCAATTCCTTGTTTGGCTGCTGCTGCTGTGTAGCAGCGGTAGAATCAGCCGCGTTGTGCAGAACCTGCTCAGCCCGTCGCGGTAGAGAGCTGGACACGTGCACTGACCTGCGCTGGACCGGTCACCCGCTGCACACAAAAGACACAAAGCCAGGCAGGGATTACCTTTCTCTCCTACATTAGCCGAATACTTCCTGGATAGAATCACGACAACTAATTGTTCTAACACATAACACTACTAGTGTTCTGCCCTCTAGTCCAGCAGTGTGTTTCTATCCAAAAACATCTGCCAACGTCTCATGTCTTATGAAGCATCATCAGTATGGATTCTTATCATTTGTTCCTTTTCTTTTATAATGTAGGGAAATATTTGTTGTGTTAAGAGTTGTTGTGTTTCTGTGAATGTTTGCACAAAAAATGTTTACTGAGCAAATTTATAGATTCATTTATTTACAGTTTATACTGTCTAATACCATCAGTACACACACACACACACACACACATATATATATACATATATATATATACACAAATGACTGGTGATTGTCTTCTTTGAAGCTTATTGTCAGGTTGATGCTGACTGTAATGTATCTGCATTGTAAGTCGCTTTGGATAAAAACATCTGTTAAAAGAAGAAAGGGAAACAGTCATTTTGGTCAAATTGCTAAAGATAAAGGCCTGTTTCCACCAAACAGCGCACACAAAAATATTCCACATTAATCAAATATTCTACGCAGATTAAAAACTTGCTGTTATATTGAGTGAGGGTTGTTGTTGTTGTTGTTGTTGTTCTCGTTCTCGTTGGCAGGCCTGACTCCTGTGGTGAGTTTTTGGCAGGAGCTTTTACACTGGACGCCCTTCCTGATGGCACCATTACATCTACTTCAAACAGGACACAAAACACAGCGTCCCGTTTTAAAAAGAGTACGGGTACCCAGGGATCAGTTCCCGGAGAAATGGTAACATCCCATAACAGGGATATCATTATCTACTGTCACTCCATGTTCATTCACACTCCACTCCAGCATCATTTACACCAGTTACCAGGACTGTTTAATAACAAGCTGGATCTCCCAGTACATGTACACAGGAATCTAAGAATATATCTGAATCTCCAACACCATTAGCTGTGAGACAAAATTCCAGAAATAGTAAAAGATAATAAGTCATTATAATAAATAATAAGAAATATTGTTCCAGAAATATTCAAATATGTCTATTTGTATTTGTACTTTTTACATTTGTATGTAAACTGGCAGGAAAGAAGTTTGCATTGTATATCCATCCATTGTCTATACTGCTTTTCCAATAATCAGTAAGTTATTACTGAGTGTTGGAAATGCATTTTAGGGGGTCAGGTGAATGCCAAAATGTTGGGTGAAAATTCAAGTGAACAAAAGATGATTTTTAAAGGGCAAAAAGTTACGAATGAAATTTTGTTTAGTTTTTGGAAGGCCTTACAGTAAGTAAAGTATAGTAGAAGAACAACAAATTCTGAAGGAATCCAAATTCCAGGAGTCCAAAAATCCTCTATGCAACATTTAGTTTAGATTAAATGTGAGGAGAACATCTGGGCAGAAACGAGACAAAACTAAACTTCTTCATGATAAAGATTAAAGTTGGAAGGGTCTTGTTTTTGTTGTGAAACCATCATGCTCTCAGCATGAGCTTGTTTCATTTGTATTAATGACAGAGACTAAGTGGCTGTGTGTAGATAGGTTTCAGATTTGGTTCATTTTCAGGATTACATTACAGTAGTGGTTGAATCCAGATCTACAGCTGGACATTTGTCCAAAACATCCCGGAGTTAAAAGAGTCCCAAATAAGCCCAGAGGTTGTGAGAAGGTGCCAGTTGTTGTTTTCTAGGAAGTTTGTGTTGATGCGATCATATTTAAATCTAAGATTGTGCTTTTCATGGTTTTAGCTGTCATGAGCTGGGAATGACAGCAAACTGAGAAAATAGATCATTTGCTATTTTGATTTGGGTGGTTTTCTCCTGTTTATTTAGATAGGAAGGTACAGTAAGAGTTTGTCTTTTCTTTTCTTTGTTGTGTTGTTTTGGTCATATTCCCTCCTGTTTTCAGCTGGATTGGTTTGTTTGTTGTGTTTGCCTTGGCCCACTCTGAGGCTGAGCTCCATATCTGCTCCTAATAAACTCGTAAGTGCCCCCCTTTGATAACGTCTCATTGGCTGCTGGAGCTGGACGGAGGTTTGGTCATTTGTCATGTTGAGTCTGGGTTACCAAAAGCCTGGCCATAATGGGGAGTCTCAGTATAAATAGTAGAAGAGAGCAGCTTTAACTAAATAGATTAAACAGACGGAAACTTTACCGTTTAGGCAAATAGATTGAAAAAGGGTAAAAACTTTGAACCCACTGAAAGGATGCAACATCTGGATGTGTTGGTCCAGTTGTCCACTGCTGGTCATTTTTGTGGCTCTACCTCGTTTATGTGGACTGTAAAAGTCTTTATTTGTTCTCCAAAATGAATTGACAGCTTCACATAGTAAACATGTTTGCAAAGATAAACACAATGTGTTGCTGTTTTACATAATTTAAAAAAAACATCACAATGTCCACTTATTTAAAAAATGAATAGTTGTGGTAATATTTGGTATTCAAATAATTAATACAATAGAGATTGTTGTAAGCTTGCAGCTTTGATTCATTTGCGGCATAATGTGGAATTAAACTGAGTAAGTGATTAATACCAACACTTAATATGGAGTTTGCATTTAGGAAACTCCCACACCAAATCACAAATGAGTTTTATCTGGGTTGTGAATATTAAGGTTAAAAGGATTTTCCGTTTCATTCGGTTTCAGTTGGTTTTCCATTTGATCCGACTGTGAAGTCAGTGGATGTTTTACTGCTCACGTGAAGAAAAGATGATAATTCCATAAGTGTTTTCTCTTGGACAAAAACAAGGTGTGTGTTTTTAAAAAATTATCAGTTGTTATTGTATAGCATCAGTCCAAAATTGGGACTTTTGGTCTGGGGCTCTTTAATGGGAGGACTAAACCTAAAATGTACAACAGCTTGTTTTACAGACTGTAAGCTTAATAATTTAGAATTGAATTTCTATTCAAATATTACAAGTCAGTGAATAAACAAATATTACCTGATTTCAGAAAACCATTAGAATATGCACAATATTAGACTTTAATTGTGCACAACAATCAGCCATCTACAAATAATGATCTATTTGAGTTATTTCAAAAGATTATACCTTAAAATATGTGTGTATATATTAGATGTGCTTCTTTTTGCCTTAATACTTCTTTATATACAGATCCACATTTATTTAATCTTGATTTTTTTGTTTTCATTTAAAAAACAAAACAAAAACTATTAAATGTGTGGGGCTTTCTGGGCCTGGAGTGAATCGGTGTGATTGACTCTGGTTGGGTCAGTGGTCAGTGGTCAGAGAGAAGAGGAGAATGTGGCCCAGCCCCTACCCCCCCCCCCCCCCACCCCCCGTCCAGAGAAGCTGAAGTGTCCACATCATAACTTCTACTTTACAAGAAATCTTCCACTTAGACCCACATATGAACGACAACTAATCTTAAACTGAAGTGTGATGAGTTTTTAACAGTTATTAACAGTTATTCTTAATTTCTAACAGATATTATATTCATCTTCCACAGCCTGTTCACCAAAATGTAGAAATTTTTACCATGTTCCTTAATTTCTAAAATGATAATGAGCTTTTGCAACCAATAAAGTATTTTTAAATAGAATAGAAATCCTAATTCCTTAGTGTTTTGACGCACAAAAGAGTCTCTAATGTTAAACTTTGAGGCTCGTGCGTCTTTAGCTGTCCTGGAACTGCTCTCAGGGTGCGTCATTTCTCCTGCTCACCTTCAATTCTGAGCATAACCAACCCATCCAATAAAGGCAATAAGGACTAAAAAGACGGAGGGGCACGTCAAGTTTTCGATTCCCAGAAATCAAATCTCAGAATCCTGTGGGAAAGAAAAAAAATGTATTTCCGAAATTTTTTTTTAGAAAAGAAATATCCTGTAAAAAACGACAGATTTTTTTTGGACCCTGATGTCCTTTCTGTGATATTTATATGTGAGGAAGAATGGTTTGAGTGTGCGTAATTCAAATCCGTCTCTGCATAATGTCACGTTCATCAGGACAGTTCAGAGGCGCGCGCCATCAGACGTTTAGCTTTCTTTTCACGTTCAGTTTATTGAACAAATGGGCCTAATCATGGAAATAACCAGGGGGAGGACGGGATAAAGCTCCTGTGGAGCCGGGGGGGGGGGGGGGCGCATCTACCCGGGGCTCAGAGCTCCACTGTTTGAATAAATTCTTTAAGGTTTCATTTCATTCCCAACGCTCTTTAAAACGATTTAATTTTTCTGATTTTTACATTTCCCCCGAATACATTATATTCATTCTGAGAGATCGCCATTAAATTAAATTAAATCAAATTAGAGAAATTGTTGGCACAAATCCGTTATTTATTTATTTTTCTTGAGGCATTTTTAAACAATATGTTCCGGATAAAATTATCCAACAAGCAGCATTTAGTTCTGACTGCTTGGAAAATATATCTCAAGGAAGATTATGCATGTTTTTTTCCGCAGACGCAAACTGATTATCACCAAAATATATAAATATTTTAATGTAATGGTACCATATATATATATATATATGTGTGTGTGTGTGTGTATGTGTGTGTGTGTGTGCATATAGGCCTATACAAGCACGGATATAAATGTGTGTGTGTGTGTGTTGAGATTTTATTTTCTTTTTAAAGGATTTGTTAATTTAAAGAGGTTCTACATACCGTTTTTCTCTCCACAGATAAAGAACGCCCGCTTTCTTCTGCATTTTTCTTTTACCTTGCCTAAGAGGTAAATATCCGCTATCCAATTCCCGATCTCATCTTCTCAGATCAGCCAATCCGCGCTTGAGGAGAGAAAAGCGTTGTCCAATAGCAGCGCGTCTGGCTCCGGGGGGCGGGCCTACGGCTCCGCAGCAGATGTGGTTGTAGATAGGCTGTTGCTCAGAAAATTGCTACGGATGGAAGTTAAACCGATGCTGGCCATTTTTAAGACTCTGTCCGGCCACCGGTAATTCCAGCAGGTGGTCAGCAGAAAAGACACGACCGTCGCTATTAAGGTAAGCCAAGAAAACCGGGGGGAGTTAGTTGTTAAAGGCGAATTAAAATGTTTTCTCCCTGCTTCTGAAAACTCTTCAAATAAGTGCGCGTGCTGTTTGTATTTTTTTTTTTTTAACGTACTTTCTCCGGCGGTAACACAGCTCTCAGGTGTGGACAGACGTGGCCTGTCTCACCCTTTTCCATCCCACAGAGCCGGCGGTGTCCACGGGTCAGGAGAAGCCATCATGCGTGGGGGGGGGCCGCCCGCCGAGCTGCACCCAGACCCACGTTTAAGCCTCCGAAACCCAGGAATTAGCCGGGGCCCGTCGGGTTTTTCCAGCCACCGGGACGCTGGGGGGAAAAACCCCGCGAAGGTGTGTCCGGGCCCCGACAGATGTGGATCCTGTGGCCCGGGCGGGGGCCGGAGAGCGCCGGGGGCCGGGTGATGTTCCAGGACGGCCGGGTGGCCGGACAGGAGGCGCCGGGAAGCTGACCGAAAGCAGCCCGCTTCACCCCCGCCACGCAGCATGAAGGAGAAGTCCAAGAACGCGGCCCGGACCCGGCGGGAAAAGGAGAACAGCGAGTTTTACGAACTGGCCAAACTGCTGCCGCTGCCCTCCGCCATCACCTCCCAGCTGGACAAAGCCTCCATCATCCGGCTGACCACCAGCTACCTGAGGATGAGGGTGGTGTTCCCGGAAGGTAGGCGCCGGATGAAACTGCCTCTGGAAAATATATTTTATCTATTTATTTTTTCATTTAGAATCATTTTCAAATGATTTACACATTTGAAATAGTCATTTGTATTTTTTTCTTTGCCACTGCAGTGTGTTTTATTTATTTTTTATCATCGCTCTTCGTTCCTATATTGAAGGCATAATTTTTAAATAGGTCCTATTTACTTGTATCTACTTTTAAATGATTATTTTTTCTGGTCAGACTTGATTAGTACAAAAATTTAAATGAAGCTGAGCAGCGGGGAGCGAACCCCCGGGGGCTGTTCGGGCCCCGCCGGGAACAGAGGCTCCATCCCGGGGCAGCAGGGCCGGAGGCTGCGCGCCCCGGTCCGGTGCAGTCCAACCCGGTACGGTCCGGTCCGCTCCGGCCCGGCCCGGCCCGGCCCGGTACGGTCCGGTCCTATGCGCCCCGGTCCGGTGTGGGTGGGGGTTCAGGCGCAGGGGGGTTAAACACCTCTGTCTCCAGGTCTTAGCCGCGTCCGGAGTTGTTGGGACATGTTTGGGGATTTTTAGCCCGAATTAAAACATCAACCCCCGGGTGTGCAGAGAGGGGACGTGTTGGGGAGGATCCTCTGGGGGGGTTCGGGATGGAAAACGTGCGTCGTTCCACACGGATGAGCGGGGGAAAAAGAGAATAGGATCCTCTTTCTGAGGGTCAGAAACTGTCAGGAACTGACCTGTTTCAATTCGCCATGCACGGCCTCATACCAGCATTAGGACCTGGACTCAGAGTCCGAAAACACACCAGGATCCCAATATGACTGACATTAGGGGTCCTTTATTCTGTCAGGTGAACACACACAGGCGCGTGCACGCACACGCACACGCAGCTCGACACGTTGTGCCGTCCTCATTAAATCACCTGTGCAGGTTTAAAGATTTAAACACCTCTGCACAGCTCCTCGCGCCTTCTTACGCACAGTCCACGTCTGTGGACGCGCGTGCTCGTGCGCGCGTGTGTGTGAGCATTTACTGAAGGGAGATGAAAGGCAGAATTTGTAGTCCATATTTTCTTCTTTTAGACTATAGAACGCAATTTCTAACAGAAAGCAGCATTTTTCCACTTCCGTTAGAATTATGGGATGCCTTTCATTTATAACCTAACAGTAAGTCACGTATTAGGAAATAAAAATAATAAATAATTACAATAAATAATTAAATAAATTGTAATAAACATTTACAGTGGCCTTTTAGCAGTTTGAGTTTGGGCCGTTTGCTCTTATTGGCGGATCCAAACTGATCCTACACCATCAATAGCTACATTTTATTTAGATTCCCCATTAAATAATATGGAAAGAAAGGGAAATATTTATCAAATATTGCCCTCCCCAGTGGAATGTTGAAAGTTTCCATCTTTTTATAAAAATCATTTTTGATGTTCTCTGTATTTTTCATCCCTGTTTATGATGAAATTAGAATCTGTTTTTATTTCATAGTCTACATTTTATTAGTGGTGATTATGGCCGTCAGAAACAAATAATTCAAGTTGATTTCACATTTTTAATGAGCTCTTTTAACTTTTTTTTCGTCGGGCCGAAAAACGGTCTGTGTTTTTTATTTTTATTATTTTTATTATGGGAAATGTCAGTTTCACAACGTGGTTTGTCCACGTTGTAGACAATATTTAATATATAGCTATATTTCATTGGACTATGGAAATAGTTACGACATGCCGTCTGTGCAACAACTTTATTGTGGTAAAAAGGAAAAAAGAAAAAATCAGAAGAAACGGCGGTTTTTCTGTAAGGGCTCGGACTCCTGGACCTCAGGCTGACCTGTCCGAGCCAAACACACCTGGAAGAATGTTTCCTATTGACCGAAATCTCTTTTTATTTTATTCTACAGTTGTTTTTAATTTCTAATTTTTTTTTTATACATAACCATATAGTATTAATGCTGTTTGATAGCAACGAATTCTAACATATTTATATTTGATAATCAAATTTATTTGAAAATCAAATGAAACATAGTAACTGCTCCCTGTGTAGACCCATCACTTTATCATAAACTTCATATTCATTTTGCGCTCGTGCGTCAGCCTCACTTTCGGGCTGATTTGATAGTGTGTTCTCCTGCGCGCGCGGAGTCCATCTGGCTGCGCGTGACGCGCCTGTTTGCTCTGCTGCTCGGGATTTGCATGTCAATGCGCGAGCCCCCGTTCTCCCCACCGTCCCGGGTTATTCCTGCAGCCATTTCTAAGTTTACAGACTTTAAGTTTACAGACCCTTCCCTTTCTGATGCTGGCTGCTAGAAACGAGAAAGATTAAACGTTCTAATGAGGCCATTCACATTCTAATGCTTTGTAAAAAATCAGAAAGGTGTCCTGAGCTGTCTGTGATCATTTTGCCCTGTGTGTCACGCGGACAGGCCTCGGGGAGTCCTGGGGTCACGTGAGCCGCAGCAGCTCTCTGGACGGAGTGAGCCAGGAACTGGGTTCTCATCTCCTACAGGTACTGCATCCTTATTATTATTATTATTATTATTATTATTATTATTATTATTATTAT